GCTGAACTAGTTTGGGTGTTTTTTCTGCAAGCCTCAGCTTTAGGTGTGAACTGGGCAGATGTGTTGTCCTTGGGTTGCTGCAATCAACTCTCCTCCACACAATATTAAAACAGATGGTTGTTAGCTTGTGAGCAGCTGCTTAACCCTTCCTGGGGGTGGCCACGCAGAGAAATGCAGAGGTTTTTAAGCCCAGGCTGTAATCCTGTGTTGAGCAACTCGTAGTTTCCTTGGGCTCCGGCTGCCTTGCGTGCTGTATTTCTGGTGGGGGTGCCTGGGGAGATGAAACTCCCCACGTGCGCCCTGTGGAGTTGGGGGGTGGGGGGAAAAAAAAAAGTCCCCTTCGTGTTTCTGATCCTCAAAATGCTTCTGCAAGTGGCGAGGGGGACAAGTTACCATGTGATGAAGACTTAGAAATGGGAAGTACAAACTGAAAGAAGCGGGAACGCGAGCGTGCTCATGGGCAGCGCGGTTCTGTGTTTCTGCACTGGGAGCACCCAGTTGTGGCCCGGTGCTGTCACCTCGGAGTGACCTGGGGAGGAGGACAGGTGAGTCAGTCATGGCAGGGTAGTCTCTGGTCACCGTCAGTTCCTTGCACATACACCCAAAATCCCCTGTCAAGCTGTGATGGGGTCACCAACCTTGAATTTCCGCTTGCTCGCTGGGAGGCATGGTGTTTTTCCTGGAGGGACTTTGCAAAGCAGGTGACACGCGGCAAGCTTGCCGTCGTGCTTACGCCAGCGTGCCTGCTTCAGCGCCGTTTGCTTTCAAATAAAAGCAATATTTAGGGGTCCTAAAAAGTGCAGCGCGCCGCACCTTGCCTTGCATCGAGCAAAGCCTCGGTGTAAACCGTCGCTCGCAGCAGCCGAGCTTCACAACTCAGGTCATGGGCTAAAAACCGAGCTTTAGCTTTCCCTGGAGAGCTGTCGTACCCACGTCTTGCAGCTAGAATGGCCAGGGAGTGCTTAAATGGTGTCGGATTCATCTTTAGGGGAGGTTTCCCCATGCTGCTGCTGCCTCTCGGTACGCTGAACAGGATCTTCTTGATTTCTTCCCGACGGCTGGGCCGCTGTCAGAGTTCTGTCATCCCCTTTGCCTTGCCTCCCTCTTTCCCAGGCAGGCGAGCCCGCGTCCCAGCAAGGGCTGTCGACTTCTGCCCTTCAGCCAAGGAATTTCTCGTTGGCTGAGGGTGACGCCGAGCCAGAGCTGATCCTGGCAGCCCCGGGGCTGCCCGCGAGCACCGGTTCCTTCTGCCACGTCCCGCCGAACAGGCGAGGCTGCTAAATTAAATTAGGGAAGCGAGACAGAGCTCCCAGCCTCTGAGAAGTCCCTTCGACAGCATCGCCTTGTGCAAGCTTAGCACCTTGCCTGCTGCCAATTCACCTGTAATTATCTCAGGCTGATGGATGGGAAGAAGACTTCTCGTTTGTGTCAAAGTCTGCACGCTTGCCTCAACCTTCTGGGCACGGGATCGGCTGCCGCTGCTCAACCCCCTGCTCCTTGGTCGTGGTTTGAGATGGGTTTTGGGATTTGTTTTTTTTTTTTTTCCAGAAGTTTTTTTTAGCGTGGGTGTTTTTTTTTTTCCGCTCCACTCCTGAGTTGGTTTCAAACCCGCAGGAGCCCCGAGGCGTTGCCTGAAACGATGCCCGGCGTGACATCATTCGGGGCCTTTTTAGCAACAGGCTTATTTTTTTCAAACAGCAACATGCAGATGTTGTTCTAAGCAGAAGAGGTGTTTGCTTTCCCCCTCACCAGCCAGCCCGGATCCGAAGAGGACAAGCTGATACGCCGTCTTTTTCCAGAGCTGTGCGCAGGCTGCTTTGGGAATCAAACCGAACTGTGAGCTGGTTGGCTGCAAACAGCAGCTTTGTGTTCCGAGAGCCCCGAGACAGGGTCCTGAGAGCATCTTTTGGCACGAGCCTCTGTTTCCAAACAGCCAGATGGGTTTCCCACAGCCCTGCAAAGACCCACTGGCTCTCAAATACCTCAACCCTGCGCTTTGCAGTGTTTGTGTTGTTAGAAAGCCACTAACTGAACTGAAGGAGGTGGGGTGCCTGTGTTTTGTTTTTTTGAAGTGTAATGATCCACAACCCTACGTTTTGTTAAACATTGAATTCGCTAAGCACTTCGGGAGATGCCAAAGCCCTGGCTGAGAGCTGCTGAACGGCCATATTTTACCACACTGGCGTTGTCCGGTGACCGATGAGGTCTTGATAATAGTTATTTTAAGAACTGGCACGGCAGGAAAGCGGCCGGCTGTTTGCACAGTGGAGATGTAGGAAGCTTTTCACTCGGAATAAATCTACGGCCACGGTTTTGGCCGCTGCAATTCACTGTAAATCCTCGTCTGAGCGCGGAGACAAACCCTTCGCTTGCTCCATGGAAAAGGCAGTGTTCGTGCAGCGTCCCTGCGTGCTGGCAGACCCCGCAGCCTCCCGGGATGTTCAGCCTGAAGAAGAGAAGGCTGTGAGGGGACCTTAGAAATGCCTACAAATATCTGCAGGGTGGGTGTCAGGAGGATGGGGCCAAGCTCTTTTCAGTGGTGCCCAGTGACAGGACAAGGGGCAATGGGCACAAACTGAGGCACAGGAAGTTCCGTCTGAACATGAGGAGGAACTTCTTCTCTCTGAGGGTGACGGAGCACTGGAACAGGCTGCCCAGGGAGGTTGTGGAGTCTCCTTCTCTGGAGATATTCAAGACCCCCCTGACGAAGGGCCGGCGCAGCCTGCTGTAGGTGACCCTGCTTCGGCGGGGGGGTTGGACTAGATGACCCACAGAGGTCCCTTCCAACCCCTACTATTCTGTGATTCTGTGATTCTATGGGGCTGGGTGGGTGCCTCGGTTTCCCCCACGTAGCCGGGCAGGTGCCTGCACCTTTTCTGCAAGCCTGGATCTGCACTGGGACAACATGTCCGAGATGCTCGGGGAGATGTGAATGCGGTAGAAAAGAGTTGCTTGATCAATCCGCCTTTAGAACTGAGAAGATATTTGTGTTTGTGGGTTGGGGTGGAGCTTCCATCTTCTGCTGATTCCTGGACAAACCCCAATTTGTCCAGAAACGATGCTCGGAGGTGCCGTGGGCGTGTGGGTGAGCCCCTCTCCGTGTCTCTCTGCAGCTGGATGACCTCTACCTGATAGCCCTCGTCCACCGTCGGGAGATCAAATCGCTTCGGGACCTCACCGGGGAGCACCTCCCGCTGCTGAGGAACGTCTTGCGAGAAGGCAAGGTAAGCGCGAGGCTGTCCTGGCCGGGCAGAGCACGGCCTGCCCGCCGCAAGGTCGCTGCCCTGCGTTCTACCGATCTGCGTGGGGACTGCTGACCGAGAGGTGACGGTACGTCCCGCTCTCTCGGTCCCTGCTGCTCCAGGGGTGCCTTCCCCCGGCGTTTCGGGGGTGCTCGTTGCTGACGGAGGAGCAGAAGTTGAGCCGTGTCCTCCTTGTGTTCCTAACTTCCTTCCCAACCCCTGGGCCATTTTCACCGGCCGAGGTTTTTTTTTTTCCAGCCCCGTGACGGGGCGTGCTTGGTAGATGGATGCACGATAGCTTCCCTTTCCTTCGCCGCCTTCAAAATTCGGAAAGTAATTGTGCTGGGGAAAGCGGAGATTAATTAAGAGATTAGTCAGGGGATCGCAGCGAGCCAAGCCGGCGTGCTTGAGTTTGCCGTTGCTGTTTATAGCTTTAATTACACCGGCTGGTAACAGGATCCCTGTAACTGCCCGAGCGAGCCGAAGCGATAAGGGTGGAAGGGAAAACGATACGAGTGGAGAGCGCGTCCCGTCACGGAGGGAGAAAAGTGGGGCGGCCGGAGGCATCGCTCCATCCCTGCGGAGGCCGACACGGAGGATGGGGAAGAGCTCCATCCTTCCTGCCCCCCATTCCCCCTCTGCCTTGCTGCGAGGATGGAGGAAGCGGAAATCGCTTCTGCCTTTCTCTCCGCCTTCTGGGGATGCTCCGTCTGTCCCGTCCGTTGCAAGGTCGGTCTGTCTGTCCGTGCGCTGCCTGCCCCCGTGCCCTCGCTGCGTGCTGCTCCTCCTGACCCGGGGTGTTCTTCCTCTCCTTAGGAGGCCGTAGCGAAGCGCTTCGGCGTGCCGGGATCCCGGCTGCGGATCTACCTGCATTACCAGCCCTCCTACTACCACCTGCACGTGCATTTCACCGCCGTGGGCTACGACGCCCCGGGCAGCTCGGTGGAGAGAGCCC